GGCGGGGGTGGCAGCGGGCGAGCGGCGGTGTCGGGAGCCAGCCAGGGGGCGCCGAACACGGGGCTGATGCGGGCGAGCGCGGCCCCCCCACCCCGGGCCGGGCTTCCCCGGGTGGGTCCTGCTCCGCACGGCCCCAGAGAGAGGGGAAAAAAAAGCAAAAATACCAATAATAATAGTAACAACAACAATAGCGACATAATAAGAAAAAGCAGCCTAATTTTTTTTATTGCTGTTATTATTATTATTTATCAGGATAAGGCAGGTCAGGCAGAGGCTGCCGTGGCTCCGCTCCACCCTGCGCAGCCCGCGGAGGAGCGCGGATCCTTCCTCTGCTCCCCCCGCAAGCTCAGACCCACCCGGAGTAAACCTCGGATCGTGGTTACTAATGCTCACCGTAGCGATCAGGAGAAAAACGGGAATAGAGGTGGATAATAAGGAGAAAAATGGGACTAGAGATGTATAATAAGGACAAAAATGGGAATAGGGATCTATAATAAAGAGAAAAATGGGAATAAGGAGCCGGGGGGGGCGGCGGGGTCTGGGGGCTGACCGGGCTGCGGGGCCGCTCCTCGCCCGGTTGTACCGGGGCCCAGGCCGCCGCCCGGTGCCGGTGCTCGGCGGAGGGGGGGGGTTATTTCGTTACAGCTGCTCCCGGGCGGCGGCTGCCCTCCGCCTTCCCGGCTGGAGACCGGCCCGGAGCCCTTCCGCCGGCCACGGCCTCCGCAGGGAGGGAGGGAGGGAGGAAGGCGGGTTTGGGTCGGGATTGTTTTTCTCGGTGTTCGTTGTGATTTTCTTTTTTTCTTTTTTTTTTTTTTGCCAATGTCACGACTTAAACCGGGTCCGGTGGCGGGGGAGAAGGGAGGCGGGCTGCTCGGCCCCGGCCCGGCCTTACCGCAGCTCCCGGAGCGGGGAACCGGTTACCGTCGCCAGCTCCTACCCCGAACCGGCGGCTCCATCCCGCCGCCGGGCCCCGCTCGCCCCTCCGGGCCCCCCCCAGAGCCGAGGGTTCGGGTCGGGGGGCACCGGCCCTCCGCCGAGCCGGCTCGGCCCTTGCTCTGCGTCCCGGCTCCCCGCTCTCGCCCTGCTCTGCCTTTTTCGTTTGCTTTATTTTCTCTTTTCCTCTGTTTTCCTCTTTTCTTTTATTTTCCCTTTTCTTTTATCCTTTTCCTTTTCTTTTTTCCTCTTCTTTTATTTTTTCCTTTTCTTTTATTTTTCCTTTTCCTTTTCTTTTTTCCTTTCCTCTTCTTTTTTCCTTTTCTTTTTGCTTTTTCTTTTTTTCTTCTTCCTTTTCTTTTCTTCCTCTTCTTTTTTACTCTTCATTTTCCCCTTTTCTTTTTTTCCTTTTCTTTTATTGTCTTGTTTTGTTGTTTTTTGTTTTCCTTAATCTATTTTTATTTGCTCCACGCTCTTTCGGTTAATTCAGGGACGGGCACAGGCTGCCGCAGACACCGACACTCGGGGCCGACCCCAGCCCAAGGACAAATTTGGAGGCCTTGAACTCCTCGTCCCCGAGCCGGGCGTCTCCTGCCTCGGCCGCGTTCTCTCTCCCTCCGGGGAACCGGGCCGGACCGAGACCCCTCCGGGACAGCATCGGGCCGCGGGAGCGGCCGAGCCCGGGTGGGTGTCGGGGGGTTTGGAGCCCCGGTGTGTCCCGGTCGCTGGGGATCGAGCTCTCGGGGATGCTGGGCTCTCGGCAATTGGATTAACAGTTAATTTATTTATTTTTAATCCACCGTCATTCCAACCGCTTCGATTTGAGGGGATTCAGGGAGAAGAAGAGGGGTGCCGCCGCCCCCGCCCGCTCCCCCCAGCTGAAGCGTCGCCGCCGCTCCCCCGCCGGGTTTTGCCCCGTTGTAGAGAGCGGCGGAACGGAGCCCACCGTGCAGTGAGGGGAGTGGGGGGGGGCTGCCCGGGACCCCCGGCCTGGGAGGCCGCTCGTCCGCCCCGGCTGGGCACGGGGAGCCCCTCGCCTCGGTACCGGAGCCGGTGCCGGCCCGGGGG